AAAAAGCCGATGTAATTCTCCTGAGAGACTGAACTTAATCTTGATTCCTTCTTTTGGCAGGTGTTGAGCTCTGGAGGTTCACTGAAAGTGACTATCCAGCAGAGCAGTGAGAGCAGAGCTATCAGTACAACCGCTCTCAAACCAGGGCACTGGACCTGCGAGGTGGGCACAGCCGATCCCAACCCTGAATCGGTCCTTAAATTCTACTGTTACATCTGCAAGACCAACTGCTGCAGTCAGCAGGTAAAAATCCACGGGTCTGACTGGGACATGGGTGGTCAAGAGAAGTGAATTAGGTAGCTGGCTGCCACGGGGAGGTGCAGCAGGAGATTTGGTAGCAAGGGCTCGTGCCTCAGGAACAAGGAACGTAAAAAAATGACGACAGGCATGCAGATGAAATAAACCTCTCCTGCAGAGCTGGCAGTCAACCTGCTAGAGAGCGGATGTGGGTGGATCCACACGCAGCCATGCTCTTAAGCTTTTATACCATTTCATTGTTAGAAGCAGTCAAGAGAATGGAAAGTGTACCTCATATGTATAATTTTCTGTATTTTTCATACATTTAAATGAATTTTTCTTCTAACCTCTTTCTCAGAATTTCCAATCCCACATGGCTGGAATTCAGCACCAGCAGCAACTTGGGGAGATTCAGCACATGAGCAATGTTTGTTTTGTTTCGCTGCTGCCCATGGTGAAGGAGCAGAAGGTGCTCGCGGAAAAAGATGGGTAAGTCTTGGTCTGTGCTAAAAAATTCAGTCTGAGTGTGGACCTATGTTGGTTCTAAAATTCCTCGCTGCTCCAGGGTGCCCCTGTGTTCGTCGTCGTCGTCGTTGCCGCCGGCGCCGCCCACCGGCATGTGCGGCTCCCCGTTCTTTAATCTCCCTCAGGCAACTTTTCTCCTGCTGAAGGTTGCCAGTATAGACTTTGACCCGCTGTGTAGTTTTTAATACAGTAGATCAGGTCAGAGACTTGTTTTAACTGGTGCCTTTCTGTCAGCATGACCTAAAGCAACCGATATAAATGTCTGGGAAAGGGAGAAGATTAAATCTGAGCTTGTAAAGATAGGAATGCTGAGGAAAGCAATGCTGAAAACAGGTTGCAAACTGCAGTATTCCGTGGGGAATGTAAGAAAATGTGACTTACAGATATAGCCATTGTCACTTTAGAGAGACCCAGCAGCGGTGGTGTAACACTTGTCAGATACACTTCACGGGGGATCTAATCAAACATCGCAGGACCCAAGAACACAAGGTAACAGCCATAGCACGGATGTCGTCTTTGCGCTGACCCTTTGTAGGGATTGGGTGGAAGTGTCTAGCATCTCCTGCTCCCCAGGCACTGAAGGGAAGGCGACTGGAGAGATGGAAGTTCTGCCAGTAACATCCTCGCTGTCTGAGGGCACTGCTGTGCTACCTCCTACCTCTGTGAACTGGCATTGTTGGAGCTTCCCGTTGTCATGCTGTGTCGGTGTGGCCCAAAGGACCTCTGATGTATAATTCTTGGCTTTTCTCAATAAACGTGGCCTATCGTACTCACCTAATCAATTGAACGGAGGAACTGGTGGACAGTCTGAAAATTTTCAGGCTAAAATTTAGACAGGATGTCATATTTATTTGCTTCCAGGATAGAAGTGCCAGAATGTCTTTTATAAGCCACATTTGTTCTGCTTTGCATGCTTTCCATCTTTTTTTTGCGGATAAGAGCCAGGGAGTCCTTGCTGCTGAAGGCTTTCCTTGCAGTCCCACTGTTTTAGATGCAAAGCTTTGACTTGGTATTGCTCAAGATTTGTATGCATTCCTCCAAATTGTCTCTTGTGACTTACTGAGTTGTTCCTCTTTTTGTAGCTGGCCAAACGCTCACTTCGTCCTTTCTGCACTGTCTGCAGCCGCCACTTCAAGACCCCTCGCAAGTTTGTGGAGCATATGAAGTCCCCTGAGCACAAACAGAAAGCCAAAGAGGTAATCCTGCCTGAGTGGAGAGCTACCCAGGGCTGGAGGTAGCTACACTGCGGAGCAGGTTAAGTTTCTGCTTCCCTGGCTATTGCAGGGATGAAAGGAAGATGCAAAGTTCTTCAAACCCTGTTTTAATTTCTATCTTTTGCCGGACTTCAATTGTTAGAGCTTAAAGAAATGGAGTGAAAAAGGAACAAGGAGTTAGATGTGTCTAGAAGCGAGATACCTTTGTGTCTCTCTCGCAGTCTCTTCTACTCATCAAATGTAGTCTGTTCAGCATCTGGGGTCTTCCTTGGTTGCCTGGAGAGTGTGAAGTTGATCTCATCTTTCTTCTGTGTATCTGACAGGTGAGGCTAGGAGAGAAGGAGTTGGGCAGCCCAGAAGATTCTGAGGAGTTGATCACGGTAGATGCTGTTGGCTGTTTTGAGGACGATGATGACGAAGAGGAGGAGGAGGAGGAGGGGGGAGCTGGTGAGGAGGAAGACCTTGATGTAGTGCTGATAGAGAATGAGGATTCTGCTGCCAAGCAGGTATGCTGTGCGAGAGGAGGAGTGACCTGAGAATCTGCTATGGGATTCTGTGACTTAGTTAGTCTTGAGTGGTTGAGGACAGGGTTTCAAGAGCCCAGTCACCCTTACACCCCACGAGGGCTCTGGGGTTATTCCAGAGCACAGGATGATGCAAAAGAGATTCAGGCTCTGCATGTGGGATTCAGGAGGGTATTTCTGCTGTGCTGTGCAGCTCCTGCTGTGTCTTCAAACATGACCTTCTTGCTGAGGAGCATAAGCAATGTCTTTTCAAAGGAAAGAATTTCTGACAAAGATATAGTCTCTCTGAATAGCCCAGCAGTAGCTTGGTCTCATAGCAAAT